GCTGCTGCTGCTTGCTGCTGCTGCAGCGCGAGATGACAACAGATGGAGGCGAAAGAAACTCGTTTACGAAGGCCTTCAGCCGAAGCACCAGAGACCCCACCCTGCACACAACACACCAGGCCCCCACACATGATATTGCTGCAGCAGCAGCAGCAGCAGCAACAGCAGCAGCAGCAGCAAGAGCAACAAGCAAAACAAAGGGAGGAGGAGCAGCAAGCACACCGGCAAGGATAACAGCTGCAGCAGCAACCGGAACACTAGCACCATCAACGACGGCAGCAGCAGCAACGGTAGCAGCAGCAGCAGCAGCACTGGCAGCAGCAGAAGCAGCAGCAGCAGCAGCAGCAGCAGCAGCACATACTCCGCAATTTGCTGCAGCGCGTCCTGCCACGGCCCCGACACCTTGCATGCTCCCTCACGTGCTGCTGCTGTTGCTGCTGCTGCTGCTGCTGCTGCTGCATTTTCTGCTGCTGCTGCTGTGGGCCCGTGAGCAGCGAGCAGCACTTCATAGCAGCAACGCAAATCTGCAGCAGCAAAGAAAGGCCTGGCTCTTGCAGGGCAGTCAACGTTGCTGCTGCTGCTGCTGCTGCTGCTGTAGCTGCTGCTGCTGTAGCTGCTGCTGTAGCTGCTGCTGCTGCTATTGCTACAGGTGCACGCGGAACCAAAGAGCACCTCTTGGGGGTGTACGTACACCTCAGGAGATACAACCTGCTGCTGCTGCTGCTGCTGCTGCTCGGGGTCAATGCCATCGCAGCAGCAGCAGCAGACAGCAGCAAGAGGAAACAGAGGAGAAGGGTCTCCTAACAACGCAGAGCAGCAGCACTGCAGCCACAGCGGCAGAGCCCCCTGTAAACCCAAACCCATCTCCCCCCCTGCGGAGCACCAGGGGGCCCCTGAGGGGCCCCCAGGGGGCCCCCCAAGGGGGCCCCCCAGGGGGCCCCAGGGGGGGCCCCCGTACCCTGGTTGGGGCCAACGCACGTGGAGGAGAGGCTGTGGGGTGTGGGGGCCCTCAGCAGCAGTTGGTGCTGCTGTCGTTTGCTGCTGCTGTCTGTCTCCTTGCAGCAGCAGGAAGCGAGCTGTCTCTAACCTGTACACAGCACACAACGGGAAAGGAGAACTGCTGCTGCTGCTGCTGCTGCTGCTGCTGCTGGTACTGCTGGTGCTGGTACTGCTGCTGTCGCTGCGGTTCCTGCTACTGCTGCTGTTGCTGCTGCTGCCGCTACTGCTGCTGCTGTTGCTGCTCCTGCTGCTGCTGCTGCTGCTCTTCCTCCTGCCACTCACCTGTGCGTCAGACTCGCAAGGGTACCCCCCAATGCTGCTGCTGCTAGACTTTCTGCTGCTGCTGCTGTTGCTGCTGCTGCTGCTGCAGGCAGCCGCAGCGCCAGGGCCCCCTCCGCTGAGCGGTAGGGGCGAGTCGCAGACAGCCAAACGGCTGCAGGCAACGACTCAGGGGGCCCCCCAGCTCCACGGGGGCCCCCTCCACCAGGGGGCCCCCCGTTTGCTGAGGGGCCCCCCTGAAGGCGCAGCAGATCCTCCTCAGGTATGGAGAGGAGGCCCTTAGAGGCACAGAGGGGGCCCCT